TCTTATTAAGCTTAATGTCGACGCCTCTTATGACCATGATTTACTTAGGGGCACGGCTGGGGCTGTTCTCAGAGATGATAATGGAAGATTCATTGTTGGTGGAAACTGGAGGATTGATTGGTGTGCTGACGTATTAACATCAAAAGCTTTGGCTCTAAGATTCGGCCTATCCCTTGCACAAAAGGCGGGATGCAATCGTCTTCTTGTTAATTCTGATAATATGGAGGTGATTGAAGTAATGAAAAATGGAGGACATTCGGCGGGAGCGGCGGCAGTAGTATTCGATGATTGCTATTTCATATCTTGTGATTTTTGCTTGTTAGATTTGAACATTTTAATGGGGAAGCAAATAAGGTGGCTCATGAAATTGCCAGGCTAGCAAAATTTTCAGCCACTACAGACTGGTTTGAGGAGCCTATGAGAGATATTGTTCATTTACTTATTGACGATGTAACTATTATTTCTAATTAATAAAATACATGTTTATTTCAAAAAAATAGAACTCCTTAAAGAGGGCCATCACTTCATGCCTAATGACGTTCCAGAAGGTATGGAAGAACTTGACCAGGAGGTCGTCAGGGCCCGGCGCGAACATCGGATTCATGCCCTTGATGGTAGTCCAGACCTCCTCCTCAGAGAACGGGCCCGTGAGGGCCGCATTCTCTGCGATAGCCCACCTTTATCCCATGCATGTGCTCCACCCATTGCGCCATGCCATGCTAGTTTTACTCTTTCATGACTTTTCATTTGACTTTCAATTTTGAGTCTATTATATCTTTTGAACTGAAAGTCTAATTTATGTTTTGTGTGCATGCTTGTGTTTCTTGCGATGAGGACTTTGAAACAAGACCACTCTCAGATACATAAATACTTTCGGATACTTTGAAAGTCTAAAAACTTATCAAAATGTATTCAAGGATGGCCTTCTTTGAAAGTCCTTGTAGTAAGGAACACAAATATGCAACCATAACATAAATTGGACTTTCAATTCAAAAAATATAGCAGGTTCGACATTGAAAGTCAAATGAAAAAATATGGGTGAAACATGCAAGCTATGAGAAAAGCATGCATGCATGGGATAAACGTGATTGATGGGCTAAAAAATCACAGAGCAATACCTGGTAATGACCAATACTGTACTAGAAAAATACACAAGAGCTCCTAGGTGCTCCACACCCCTATACGAATATTAAACATAGAAAATACCAAAAACTTCAAAAAATCTGAATTTTGGGGATATCAAACCTGGGTTCTCAATCTACTCCTGCATGAAATTTCGTAAAAAATACCAAGAAACGTTTCCGTGGCAAAGGAAATACCGTCCGAACAAAAATCCATCCAAACAATTTTTTTCTATATATAGAAATTTTTTGTCTTTTTTGCCACGAATATGTTTCCTGGTATTTTTTCACTAAATTTCACAAGGAAGTAGATCGGGAATCCAGGTTTGATATCTCAAAATCTCATATATTTTTCCAAATTTCCCGGTACTTTTTTGTATTTAATGTTCGTATAGGGATGTGAAGCACACGGGTGCTACAAATTCGCTTCCCGGAGTACTAAACAAACTGTGTCTCCCAATCTCAGCGCATTTCTGTGTTCCTGAGCATGTCACTCGATCTCAATCAGTGAGGAGGCCGATGCGTGTTCCAAATCCATTCTTGGCATGCTCACCTTGAAAAGGGAAGTGGGAGGTTTCACTCACGCTGCAATACTTGCTTGCTTGCCTTGTCGGCTAGAATAGAATAGGTAAATGTTTCTTAGGTGTAAGTACAACGGTCATGAACAGTTTTTTGTTTAAATATACTTACAAGATATCATAAAATTATAAAAAAGAATGTATGTTCATATTCATATGGTTCATATAAGAACGATCACTTTTGCGCCCCCGACAAAAAATAAAGTCAATAGAAGAGTGTTTTTAGAGCGCTAAATTAGTTTTTTCTTACACACGCATGGCAATAAAACAAATTACATTCTCCAGATTTACAAGCATACAAAGGACTTGAACATATACATATTTAGAGTGTTTTTCGAAAAATATTAGGTCCCAAACTTATTTTCTTTACGTGCCTCTGCTTGCACTTCTGAATTACCCCTTTGCGTTGGCCAGGTCCTAGTCGGCACGTTCACATCTCCTTCCCCTACACGGCTAAGTATCTTGCGTGAGGAAACTAGAGACCATTAATTAGCAAACTTTGGCATAAAAGCTTGAGGAAAGGTGCTTTCTTTTGTTTTGATGACGCCAGTGTCTATGCTACCGCGCAATCAGAACAATCATTTAGCTATATACAATTGATTAATAGAGGATAGAGATGTGATTTGTGTGCTAAGTGCCTTTTGATTAATCACAATAATAGGTAGTAGTGGTTTGGACTTTACATGAACCTATCTCTCTGTACCTTTGCTACAATTGCAAGTTGAGTAGTATTTAACACGTTTGGGCAACAACAAGTGATGTGTGGCGCCAAGGAAGAGTCCCAACGAAGAAGAAAGCTTTCTGCCGCGGTTCTGCGGTGTGCAGATAAGAATGGCCTTGTGTAACGCATGGTTTTATGGATTGTAATGTGTGTTGTGTTTTATAAAGCCTATTTCAAGTTGCGCTATGGATTCTAAGCAACGGTGGAATAAACCTTTTTTCTCCTGTTAAAACAGTAAGGCCTTGCATATAGATGCATCGGCCGAAAGCGGGTCGTTTTAAACCCATGGGTATGGAATGAACAATCAGAGTTGTTTGGTTTGTAGGATTCCGAAAACCATAAGAACAGTAAAAACATGTGACTAGGATGTCTGGGCATACTGAATTCTAAAGGAATTGAAAACAAGTGATAAATTTGTACTCCTTCCGATCCATATTAATTGACGCACATTTAGTACAACTTTAGTAATATGAATCGGAGGAAGTAATAGAAATTGTTTGCTTGCACCAGGGAGTAATGCATGAATTTTCCTACAAGATTAACCAATTAGGTACATGCCGTGGTTGTCACAGAAACAAATGTCGAAAAAAAACCACCCATAGAAATTTCTTTACGGGATTGCATACAAAGTAGGCCATAGAGAAAAAATATGGTCTCCAATCCTACCAATCAAGCATGCTCTATAGGAAAAATGCCTAAGGAATGAAATCCTCCAAATTTTCTTTGGAAATCCTTTGAACCAAAGAGGCCCTCAACCGCTGATAAGATTGTGATGGATCAGTCTTTCAAAAAAATAGATCGTGACGCACCACCGAAGTCAATAAAATGATGGACCATCGAAGCACACAATAAATATTTAATCCTCAGTCTTTATGTCCATTTTTCTAGCCGGTGTTTTGATGTTAGTTTTCTCTTTGCATGAACGTGCTTAATTATATATGATCTCGTGATGCACCATCAAAGTCGAATGTAATCGTGATCCTTAATTATGATAATTGCAGCTAAAGAAGCAATTAATTAGCACATTATTTTTGTAAAGCACGTAATACAGATATAATCCTCAGCCTTTATGTTCATTTTCTTTAGCTGGTGTGTTGCTGTTCAAGATTTTGTATGACATCGCTGCTTACAATACTCTCCACCGTTGTAGGAAAGATGATTGAATGCTTGATTGCTTCTTTCTGCTCTTTTGTTTTGCTTCAAAAGATGGCCAGGAGCAAAGCACAGCACAGCCTTTTGTTTTTCTTTCTGGAGTCAATAATTGGTGCATCAAGGAGAGGAAAGGCATGATCATACATATACCCAAGGTAAGCTCAGCAGCTCAGCCACTCAGGGCCAGTGTCCTTGTCTCCTCTGTCCCTCTCCTTCAAAATGCACCACTGATGCAAATATCTTTACATGCAGATTGCCTGGTGCAAAAGCTTTTCTTAACCTATTAATCAATTAAAGCAAAAGATGAAGGTGCTAGTTAAGCAGCCTTTCATGCTAATCCCCTCATCTGCAAAAAAAATAAAAATGGTCAAAGCATCTGTTGATTTGCCCACTGCTGGGTGACACTGCTTTTGCCAAGACCATAGAAAATATTTGCCTCCTGGCCTATCTTTACTGCACATCAATTCAGCATAGGTTTGCCTCCTGGCCTATCTTTCTGCATAAATGCACAGCAATTCAGCACAAAACCGGTTCAAATTATCCCTTGATTGTATATTTCCTCTCAAAGATCCAGAGCTGGTAGTTGTACAGTACTGGTCTGGCAAGTGCCAGCTCTTAAGCACTTCTGTATTAGAATAACAAATAGCAATCCTGTGCAATATTTGCTTCAAGAAAAAAAAACTGTGCAATACAACTCATTTGTTCATGTAACTACAAACTAAACATAGATACAGAATACACGAGCATGACTGTTCTTGATGAGGGTGACCTTATTGAAAAAAGACGAACATATGTCTGACCAACACTATGATAAAAGTACGTTGTGGTTCCAGCCAGAGTCAATGCACAATTCGAACATATGGCACTTCCTTGCTTGCTACCTGATCACAGGTTGGGGCTTCAGAATAACCACAAGGTGCCCTGCGACCGCTCGCTGCCATGAATAACTTGGCCAAATCCATTTAATCATGAAAGCAGTTGCCCCTGAAACTCACTGTCACTAATCAAAGCTGGCACTCTGCGACAAATTGGATGGAAGTATCTGTCTTTAGAATTCGGTTGGCACTCTGCTAGAAACTATGTCAAACTTTAGATAATGCCAACGATTGAACAACTGCCTCAGCTGTAGTTTCTCTAGAGATAATATATCAAACTTTTGCACAATACTTCACACCATAACACATTCATTTTGATATTATTAGGGCTGTAAGTTAATGCTCTGATGTGTGTTGCCACCGTTCCTTCACGCCTTCAATTTAGAACGGAGATTCAAGTGACTCGTCCCAAACATCTCCACTTGCATTGGAAGCATCTTCACCATCTTCTTCCATTGCCAATCTTATATATTCTCTCCGAGCAAAACGATCCCAGTCGGTCAAGGATGGCTCTTCACGCATCTGCAGTTACATTAGAAGAAAGCACATAATGTTAGCACCATGGAAGACCAAAAATATCAGCGCTCGTTGGATGTAGAATACTTGTGAAAACTGGACTCACTTGGCGAATGAGGAATGGGTCTCTAGATTCAAAAGCCATGAACTTGTTGAGGTTGAAGAGAACATTGAAGAAATGCCCGGACAATTTGCACCTCCGGAAGTCTTTTATGGTAAAAAAGGTATCATCCTGAAAAAGCAACACACATATCAGCTTAAAAATGTACAGGATCTTATGAACTGCACAAAAATAGGAAAGGTATGCAGACCTCTGGTCCTATCATATCAACTAGTTGACACAATATGTCCTCAAACAGTACAGGTTCCTGGGCCATGCATTCCATGCGATGAAGTTGCTCCTCAAAAAAGTATTGTAGTTCAATGTGTGTGAGTATGCCATTGCCATCCAAATCTATACATTTAAACCTGACAAGAGGATAATGGAAGCATAAATATGAGTTTCTAGAATATGCAACAAGAAAACATCTCAAATTAGATCACACAACCATTTAAAGTAATCTAGCATGATGAAGGGTGTGTAAAAAACAAATGATGAGGGCTATTGCAAGAAATCCGCTTGAAGATCTCCTAGTCAGGATTTTTCTCCTGAGGCAGACTTCCTATGATCTCAGGAGTAGATTTGCTTTTCCGAATACCCATGTTAAAGAAAATTTCAATGAACGTCTCACAAACCACATAATCATTTTTCAATCCCTTGTGTGATTTGTAGCCAACAAATCATTTGACAGACTGAGCAAGTAAAGAATTCTGCTTAGCTTACATTGAGAATGAAACCAGTCAGTGTCAGACCAAGGGTTTAGATACAAGGGAGAAACCCACAAGGGCAAATATGCATCCGAGTTCCTCGGTTCTTAGAGAAAAAGCTGAGGGGCCCTTCCCCCTTTGGTCTTTTTTTTAGAACAAAGCTACAAAGACCTACTGTAATAAAACATCCTCTGATCCACGGTTTATCGGCTTTGCAAAAGTCTAATCTCTGAAAGAAAGATCTAATAGTGCTGTAGAGAAACTTGTTTATAGAAGAGGCATAGACATGGGGATCACATTATTGGTGATTGGTAAGCTCGCATAGGCTTAGATTTTAGGTAATGCACAATAATTTACGTGACAATATGAAACATTACAGTGCTGCTCAAAATAATTGGAGCATTGCTTAACTGAAGAATAAAGCAAGTGTCAGAAAAAACAAAAGCTGGACCTACCAATAATCTTGGCTTGGTTCTGATGATTTATCCTCTTCAGACAAAATAAAATGAACAAAATCTTCGTAACACATTTTCCCTGGAATCTTGCTGGTAAATTTCCTGGGAACCTATTGTGTATCAATTAAAAACTGTCAGTATGAACGTAATTGTAAAGAATCGCTGCATGTAATAGATAAAGTATAAGTGCAGAAACTTGAATGATCTGAAAATGGTAGAACGAAACAAATACCAACCTCCGAGAAAATTCTATCTACAATCCTATATGTCAATGCATGGTTTCCATACTTAATAAGATTTTCTTTGTCAATAAAGAAATCGTGGTCCGTATCGAGTTCCCAGAACTTGCAGTATATCACATAGAAATGCTCGTACGAGAAATACCTACAGAAAACGAGAAATGATTGGTGTCTCACAAGTTGTAGAGGAAATATTTTTTTCGTACAAAGAGACAGAAGCAAAAAGCGGTGTAAAATTTTGTGTTTAAATGTGCCACCTTAAAACTTTATTGATATCCTCTTCATCATCAGCATGCTGCAGCGAATCAAGCAGATTTCCACGTTTCAGCTCCCTCAGACTGAGAAGGCCATTTCCAATTCGATTCAAGCAATAAAATATCCTATATACGACAGTCTCAGCTGACAAACAATGTTGTATAAGTAGAAGAAAATACCGTATGACATTCAATATTTGATTAAAATGGTCACAGAAGGGTATATATAGGCTTACCATATCTTTCCTGAAATTCCGGCGTGCTCTTTAAGAATTCCAGGCCAGGATGGTTGTCCAAAAGGTCTCGAAGAACTGGTTTGAAATCTTCCTAGATTATTTCCAATGGCATCAATCATGAAACAGAATCAGCATCCATTTATGGAGTCTTTAACTGCATGCTTTTGTTCTGTAAAGCACACATACCTTTGTGAGATAATCATGATCTGGTTGCTTCAAAATCGTAAATACTTGGGTTGCACTGTCCATAGTCATCATATTGCTATTCACCCAGAAATCCATAAAGGCATCCCTGGAAGAAACACCATAATGTAAGATTCAACATTTGTGGGTTCCGTGAATCCCAAGTGATCAAGTGATCAACTACCTTGTGACAAATTCAGTGTTATCCTTATCAATCTTTCCAAAAAGAACAGTGGTAAAGAACGACGGTAGTTTGCAGAGCTCCCTGGTAACCATCCGAAATTCTATTGTGGCAAAAACAGACAAAAATAAATAAAAGCACAGAACATAGATGGTTAGTTGATATGCTCACGCACAATCTGATATGATCATGATAATTGACAATTTAAGCTGGTTATGCTTATAAAGCTAATCCAGATGACAAACTTCAAACTTGAGCACCGATTTGATCAGATGAAAACCACAAGGTCCAAATGAAACCACTCGTCTTTACACCAGTGATTTATAATTAAAATTGCATCCAAAAGATTCATTCATTTCATATTTGGCAAAATAATCCTGAAGACACTTCACATTTACGCACCTTGAATCCGAAGACCATTGGAGTGCCCGGCGAAGAGCTGCTCGACTATAGATATGCACTGCCTCTTCTGCTCGTATGGCAGCGGGCGTCCATCTCGGAAATAGAACTGTCAAGCGACATGGACGATTACGATTAGCTTGCTGGAAAAAGAATGGTGCTGGCAGGTTGATGGATCGACGGCGAGCATGCGTATGTGTACCTGTGGAATGACCTCCTTGACGGCGCGCGCGGTGGCCGGCCGGAGCGGGGACGCGCAACGGTTGGGGTGTCCCCCGACCCCGCTGGGCTTCCTGGAGAGGCGGGGCGACCTCGGCGAGAGCGGCGGCACGTTGGCGCCCCCCTGCATCATCATGGACGGCAACATGGCGCCCCCGGTGAAGCCGCCCATGCCGTTGGCCTTGGCCTTCTGGGCCAGGCAGCTGACCAGGGCGACGGTGTCGGGGAGGGAGAGCCAGTGCGCGAAGAGGTGGTCGAGGACACCGCGCAGCGCGGGCGCCCCCGGCGCGGGGATCTCCGGCGGCAGCTGCAGGAGGTCCACCTGCAGCGCCAGCGCCGACACGGCGCTCAGATCCGGCGCCGCCTCCATTCTCAATCCCGGCCTCGATCGCTCGCCGCCGCTCGCCGAGCCGATCCGATCGGAGCAGGTCGATCGTCCGGCAGGTTCGAGTGGGAATCAGGCGCGTGGCGCGACGTGGGGCGGCGGCGGTGGGGAAGACCGGTTAGCTAACGGCTCGCCTCACGCCAGTCTGGGCGCCATCCTGGCCGTCCATCTCATAGATCGGCCGCGTCCCTGCACAGCCACATGGTGCCAGTCAACGTTTTTTGCGTAATAGATGGATGCCGGGCGATCTGCAACAGATGCACATGCCTCCAGCTCTAAACAGTTCGACATATTCGTACAAATTTCATACAAACACAACACATTTGTGCAAATTCGTAGAGAACTGATGTGAAAACAAATAAATACTTTGGCAAATGAACAACCTATCCCACAGAGGAAGGAGTAAATCATGTTTTCAATGTTCCTAAAACATAATACAGAATTCTTGACCAATGTACAACATGATTGACATACCGTCTCGACTTGAAAACCAGGTCGGATGCAACAATTGCTCACTTGTGGAATGAAAAAAAAGATGCAACCAACCGGATGGGATCTCCTAATGGTGACTATATTTCTGTCTAGTGAGAGAAAAAAGGAGAAGTGGAGAATGGCAAGAACCTAACCATAAATAGCGCCGGATGTGAGGGAGAGGAGGATGGATGGGAGGGAAAGGACGAGAGGGGAAGTAGGCCTCTCAGACCACCAATAAACTCGCACCATGCATGCATGCTACTTTGGTACATGCATGTTTGGAACTAGGATGGCAATTAACTTGCTTGTAGGAGTTCAACACAAACTCACATCCTGGTTCATGCATTGTGTTTTTGTATGAAATGTTATTTTTATCATAAAAAAATCTAATGATCTTAAGTCATGAAATTTCAATAATAGCATATGTGCATTACGATAGGTGGCCTGTCATTGCCAGCGCCAATTATAAGCCCCTGCCGTTTGCAGTGCACCCGCCCGCAGACAATCACACAGTCACGTTCGACCGATCTCTCTTTGGTAGCAGTCGTCGATCGATCCATCGTTTCAATGGAGAACTAGTGCCTCACCTACCACCACCCTGTGTTGGCGCCACCTGCTCAGCTTGCCATGTCGTTGATGGAAATATGCCCTAGAGGCAATAATAAAATGGTTATTATTATATTTCCTTAATCATGATAAAGGTTTTTTATTCATGCTAGAATTGTATTAACCGGAAACTTAAATACACATGTGGATACATAAACAAATATCGTGTCCCTTGTGAGCCTTTACTAGACTAGCTCGTTGATCAAAGATGGTTAATGTTTCCTAACCATAGACATGAGTTGTCATTTGATAGCGGGATCACATCATTAGGAGAATGGTGTGATGGACAAGACCCAACCGTTAGCATAGCATATGATCGTTTAGTTTATTGCTACTGCTTTCTTAATGTCAAATACATGTTCTTCGGCCATGAGATCATGCAACTCCCGGACTCCGGAGGAATGTCTTGTGTGCCATCAAACATCACAACGTAACTGGGTGTGACGCCCGGATAATTAAGCTGCAGTAATTCCTGCTAATGATGCCATGTCACCCCGATTACTTCTTTTAAACTCGCATTTATTCAAAGCCGATTCAAAATTCAAATTTAAAATAAAATCAGAATAATTATCTCTTCAAATGGTAAAAAAAATGTTCGAATAACTCTATAAATTCCCCTGATCATCTTATTGTTGAAACCAACTTTATTGGACTCACAAATAATTCCTAGGAAAACTAATAAGTGGTCTAACAGAAAATATAATGGCCTTTTCAAAGTAAACAAGTGTATAAACTTTCCCAAATAAAATGGAACCTTGTGTGTAGCCCCCAAAACATTGTATTTGAATTATATGTGCACTATCTTGTAGAACTAATATCATTTAGTGCCTAAAATAAATAGAAAATTGTGACAAAAGGTTTGACAGAAAAAGCGAAAATATGTAATGTGCACTTAACCGGCCCATAGAACAATGCACTGGCCCAGCCCAACACCACTTTCATCCACCTCCTGCTACAGAAGGCAGGGGCCGTGGCGTTCATCCCCCAGCGCCATGGCCGGCGATGCACACGCGTCGGGCATCCATCCAAGCTTTGGAGAAGATAAGATCGAACCCCAGGCCCCCGCAACAAACCCTAGTTCCTCTTCCTCTCTTCTCCATCGCGCCACTTCTCTTCCCCGAGCACACACCCGTAGCACCATCGCCGTGGCCATGCTCGATCCCGCGGCCACCGTGCTCCCCGCGCCACCGAAGTATGTCCAGGAGCCCCGGAGGGTTCTTCTTCTTCGGCCACACCACCAGACCGGAGCTGGGAGGCCGCCGCTGCGTCGCCATCGCCGTCTCCCCCTACTCGACCAACACTGCCTCGCCATCATCACCATCGATCTACACCAGCACAACTCCCCGGCCTCCCCGACCACACCGTCGCGCTCACCGCCCCCGCCCGATCCTCCTTCAACTGCCTGCGGCCGCCGAGGCCCCGCGGCGCCTGGCCGAGGCCGCCGGCTTGCCTGCTCCCTTTCCATGCTCCCATCCGTGCTCCCACCTCATCCAATGGCTGTCTTTTTTCCTTTTTCATTTCTAATCTAATCATCTCCCTCCCTGATTTTAAGGAAGTGGGGCCGGGTCTTATTTTGTTTTAATCAAATCAAGCCACGTATGCGGGAGCACGGATGGGCACACGAGAGGGGAGCAGGCAAGTCTCGTCCCTGCGCGGTCACTCGCCCAGCCACCCGTGGGGCCGGCCAGGGCCACTAACATGTGGGACCCCCCTTGTTTTGATAGTCAAAAAAAGGAATAGAAATAATTAACGAAATAATTAGTGATTAGTTAATTGGTTAATTAACTAGACTAATTACCTGCTGACATTGGACCCCCACCACTAATTAGTTTAATACAAATAACTCTTTAATATACATGTGACACTGACATGCGGGACCCCTCCTGACAGTTGACCAGTCAACATGGACCAGTCAATTGCTGACTATGCAGTGGACTGGCCCCACCAGTCAGTCCCTTTGAGCACTGCTGGGTGCACCCAGCCTTTTCTGTTTAAATATTTTTGATTTATTAATATAACTGTAATTTCAGAAAATGATTAAAACTTAGAAAATTAATATAAAATAAACCATAACTCGGATGAAAAAACTTTGTACATGAAAGTTGCTCAGAACGACGAGACGAATCCAAATACGCAGCCCGTTCATCCGCCACGCATCCCTAGCATAGCGAACACGCAACTTTCCTCCTCCGGTTTATTTGTCCGAAAACGCGAAACCCCGGGGATATTTTCCCGGATGTTTCCCCCTTCACCGGTACCACCTCATACCGCGTTGGGGCACCCCTAGCACCGATACTTGTCATGTCATGCATCTCTATGCAGCTGTTTGCTTAATATTTATTGTTTCTTCCCCCTCTTCTCTCCGATAGACTACGAGACCGACGCCGCTGCTACCCAGTACGACTACGTCACCGACAACCCCTCCTTCTTGCCAGAGCAACTAGGCAAGCCCCCCCTTTGATCACCAGATGTCGCCTATTCTTCTCTCTACTGCTTGTATTAGAGTAGTGTAGCATGTTACTGTTTTTCGTTATCCTATCCTGATGCATAGCCTGTCCTTGCTACTAAAGTTGTTACCTTTACCTGCAATTCTAAATGCTTAGTATAGGATGCTAGTGTTTCATCAGTGGCCCTACACTCTTGTCCGTCTACCATGCTATACTACTGGGCCGTGATCACTTCGGGAGGTGATCACGGGCATATGATATATACTTTATACTGTTACATTACTTATGATACTGTTCGGAGATGGCGGCTGAAGGGGCGGGTGGCTCCATCCCGGTAGAGGTGGGCCTGGGTTCCTGACGGCCCCCGACTGTTACTTTGTGGCGGAGCGACAGGGCAGATTGAGTCCACATAGGAGAGAGGTGGGCCTGGCCCTAGTCGGCATTCGCGGATACTTAACACGCTTAACGAGATCTTGGTATTTGATCTAAGTCTGGCTACTGGCCTATACGCACTAACCAACTACGCGGGAACAGTTATGGGCACTCAACGTCATGGTATCAGCTGAAGCCTTCGTGACGTCAGCGACTGAGCGGCGCGCGCCGGATTGGACCGCAATCCTGCTCTTGTATTAAGGGGGCTAGTTCTGCTTCCGGTCGCATTCGCAACGTGCAGGTGTGCAAAGGGCGATGGGCCCAGACCCCTGCACCATAGGATTTAGACCGGCATGCTGACCTCTCTGTTGTGCCTAGGTAGGGTTGCGACGTGTTGATCTTCCGAGGCCGGGCATGACCCAGGAAAGTGTGTCCAAACAAAGGGGATCGAGTGTGTTGGGAAATGTGGTGCACCCCTGCAGGGAAGTTAATCTATTCGAATAGCCGTGATCTTCGGTAACAAGACGACTTGGAGTTGTACCTTGACCTTATGACAACTATAACCGGATACTTAATAAAACACACCCTTCCAAGTGCCAGATACAATCGCTGGTCGCTCTCTCACAGGGCTACGAGGGAAGGATCATCGGTTAGGTTTATGCTATGCGATGCTACTTGGTGAACTTACCATCTACTCCCTTCTTCTGCTGCAAGATGGAGGTTACCAGAAGCGTAGTCTTCGACAGGACTAGCTATCCCCCTCTTATTCCGGCATTCTGCAGTTCAGTCCACATATGATACCCTTATTCCATTTGATACCAATGCATACATATGTAGTGTAGCTCCTTGCTTGCGAGTACTTTGGATGAGTACTCACGATTGCTTTGCTCCCCCTTTTCCCCCTTCCTATACCCGATTGCTGCGACCAGACGATGGAGCCCAGGAGTCGGACGCCACTGTCGATGACGACTACTACTACTCGGGAGGTGCCTACTACTACGTGCAGCCCGCTAACGACGACCAGGAGTAGTTTAGGAGGATCCCAGGCAGGAGGCCTGCGCCTCTTTCGATCTGTATCCCAGTTTG